ACTTTGAGGTTTACAGAACATTTTACAAATATTATCTCATTTTTATCCTCACAACAATCTAATTCACTTTAAACATCAAAGCCTTAACAGGTTAATGAAATGAGTAAGACAGTTAATTATTACCTTGTCTTTGCTCATATTACTCCCCATGCCTGGAATGCTCTTCATTCTTGGCTCCCCCACTTCCACCTACTGAAATCTTATTTTTCAAGATACAACTCAAATGGCACTTCTTCCGTAAAGCTATCTCTGATCTTCTCCAAAAATATTTCCTTACTCAAACCACAAAAGTACTGTCTTTCTCTTAAGCTCTTACCATATTCTGGATTATAGCTATTGCATTGTTATAGTATATTTATAATTTATACTACATTTATGCTACATATAGTATATTTATTATATAGTTATTAAATATTTGCGTGTTACATGACAGCAGGAACTATGTTTTAATTATCTGCTTCACTTTCAGAACCAAGCCACAGCAGGTACTTTATATATGTTTGTTGAATCATCCCCATTTTAACAGCAATAGCTTCTTTTTGTAGGAATCAAAATATTATTTCTTTTGTATGAATTAATTCAACCTAAGTAAGGTTTGGGAACTGGAAAAAAAAAAAGAAAAATTCAAATTTCTTTTCCAGCCTGTAAAGAGGAAGATTAATGAATCAACCACATAAAACACATTGAATTATAATGCTGACCTTGCTGAAAGCCCATTTTGCTTAAAAAAATAAAAATTTAAACTTTTAAAAAGTAAAGATGTAAAAGTTATAAAGGAAAGAAAATTTTAAAATATATGTACATATGTCACTAAAATAAATAACTTCAGAATACATAATTTTTTATGTTAAAAAAATGCAAACATTTTGTTTGGGATGACAGCTATTATCCTCCTAACTGCAAAAACATCCCCCAAATATTTGTTAACTTCTTTAATTTCAGAAACTTGTGACATCAGAGAGGAACTATCTGCTTTTATCAACTTTGGTAAATAAAATAACTTCCATATGTTTTTCATTTTTTATATGGAAGTTAACCATACCAGAAAACTGGACTACATAAATGAATAATTCCTGTAACTTTTTTGTCAAGAAACTATCTAATAGATTCCATGATCTAAGTTAAGAAACCCTGTAGTGGAAATGGATTTCTACAGATAACAATGTTTTATCACTGCAAATACTGTGACCAATATGGTAAATTAGGGATATAGTCCATAATATATAACTAACATCCCTTATAGGGATCTGACTAATAATCTGAGCTTTATTAGTACCATGTGCTATCGACTGAGCTAACACCAGCACTTAATAGTAAGGAATATCTCAAATTTTAGAAAACGGGATTCAGAATCTTCTAAACATAATTGAGATTTACTGTTCCAAGGGTCCATAAGACAGGTTAACATAGTAAGGTGTCCCAAAATTCATATTTGGAAGAGGGCACTGTGAGGAGTCTCTAGAGTAAGCTGGTAAAGTAAGATATCAGTATGACTCCTATAACCCTAGCTCCACCCTCTATATGGATTCAAAAGGCTACTAGGAAGCTTAGAGAAAACCCAAGTTCCAAAAATAAGGACTTTGATCTTGGGTCTATATATGCCCAACATCACCAGGTTGAATAATCCTTTCCTACCAAAATTAATTAGTATCTACCTGAATGTATATTGTGTATATGGCAGTCTGCCAAGCCCTGAAAGCCAAAAAATGGTATAAGATGTGGCAGCATGGTAGATTGGAATGAAAATAAACTGGATTTTTGGATTCAAAAGGTCTGTGCAAGAATTATAACTCCAATATTTAACTACTCTTACTCTCCTCATCTGTAAAATCTGGTTAATACTTATACTATCTACCTCACAGGGTTACTGTGAGGAAAGCACTATAAACATTTGCAAACATTAAGGATATAAATATATGTATGCATGTATGTATGTATATACGTAATTTAGTAACAATCATCAGGTAATAATACCATATAACATGATAAAAGTCAAGGGTTTGGGATCTGGGTTCAAATCATAACTCTGCTTACAACCCAGATGGGCATGTACATGTAATCTTTCTGGGCCTTAGTTTTCTCATCTATAAAATGAGGAGGTTGAAGTACATGACCTTTAAGGTTTTCTTCAAGTCAAAGTCCTATAATCCTGAGATCTATTAGCAATTTGGAAAAATAGAAACTATACACTATTTCACAGGGCAGTCCTGAAGAAAGCACTCTGCAAACAAACCATAACTATGTAAACATTAATTCAAATTATTATTACAGACAATAGCATATTATAATTACAGGTTCTTTTTTTAATATTATCTAATCATTCATTTAATGGATTAGTCTTCTTAGTGCCTAATAACAGATACAATAATATTTTAATCATCTGTGATTTAGCACGGGCATACCATCATCCATTAATGTGGAATGCAACTCTCCTATGCCTCAGATTATAGTGTTCATCAACGGATTTGGCAAAAACAAAAAAACTTAGTGGTCAATCTGCCAGTAATGACTGTCTACAAACTTAACAAGGCTGCTCCTTGGGGGCCAAAAATATACTATTCCTGTACTTGACCTCCAAATCTTTCAAGGCTGTCTAACTAGTAAGAGGTTGTACATCTCTGAAAACATAGGGTCAACTTGATGTCAAGAATGGTAAAAGGATCACAGACTGTTATTAACAGCTAGAAGGGACCCATAGAAAGCCATCTAGTTCAACCCCTCACTTTACACATTAGGAAACTAAAGCTCACAGAAGTTATATGACTTGCTCAAGCTGAAGCATTAGCATAGCAAAAATCCATATTATTATTTTTAAATCACAGCATTTTGTCCAGTTCTTTACTGAACTTGACTGTGATTGAGTTCTTAACCTCTCTGAGCTTCAGTGTCCTCATCTATAAAATGAGAGAGTTTAACTACTCTTTCTAGCTCTATGTCCTATCATCCTATTAATTGGCAATTTAGTACACATAAGTGATCGGGATATATTAGTAATGACTGCCCCACAACTGGCTATTCCAACATGAAACTAAAGACCTAATGAATGTAGAACCTGAACTACCTACTCCCTGCCAAACAGAAGCAATCTTCCTCTAACATACAACGGAAACCATGCAAAAAAGACTCAAGCACACTACACATACTGTGTAAAGGTAAACTCAATTTCCACTGCTGTGATTCCAGCATCTTTTAAAAGCATTAAAATTATTCAAAACAAAGAAACATTCATAATCTACAGAAGATCTTGCATTAAGTCTAAATCACTAACCTTTTACAGAAATGTAGAATAGGAGCTATCACAGTAATAACAGTATTAATCAGTTTGAAGTATCCAACCTCTATTAGCATTACATACCTAAAGAGATACTTTACCTTGAGTTTCTGAATTGCTGAAAATATATTTGGAAAACTTCTTGGGAAAAGTATTATAATCCCCCCAGCTACCTTATACCATCATTCCTGCAAAATGAAGATCCAAGTTTAAAGCCATTCTTAACTTTGAAAAATAACTAATCAATACTCAAAAGTCCATATCTATTGCATTATATATGTATAAATATATATATGCTTACACACACTAAATGAACTATTTGAAGATATCATATAAAGTTTAACAAACCCCTATGACAGATTCATTGTACTCCCCACTCCTCTGCACCTTATACTTTTAAGAATTTCAATTTACTACCTATGAACCAATCTGGGTGGTACAAAAGTAGTTAACTAACAGCTACAGATACTTACAAGTAATAGTATACACATGTAAAGATGCATAGGGATAACAAACAAGAACAGAGAACGTTTACCATAATCACAGAATGCACTGGGAAAATGCTTACAAGATTTTATTTTGAACTGAAGAGCATTTTAGAAATGCTCATCTTTTCACCCAGTAGATAACAACTCTCATCATTTCATCAACTGTTTGTTCTGGGGAGAAACTTATTGGTACTGAGTCCTCTACCAGGTAATAAGGGTAAAGTAACAGTTTAAAAAAAACTGCTGAGCGCCTTACACAATAATATTGCTTTCAATTTGATGGGAAAACTGAGAATCAAATAAAAGTTCTGAGGAGAACTTTAACAAGACATTCAACTTGGGCACAGAACCAGTTCCCTCTCTTGCAGAATAGATGGACCGCATCCTTGAAGTATCAGAATTTCTGTCATACTCTTCAGAATTCTCAACTAGAGGCAAAAAAACCCCTCAGTATTTTTAATTATAGTCGCAGAAAAGTCCCCTTCAAATGACAAAACCTGACATTACCTCTACCTCTTTCTAGGTAACAACACACAGTCCCCTTCATCTCAATAAAAGGGAGGGAGGGATTTAGAAGAGGGGCAGGATGGACAAACAATGAATTAATGTTTTTCTTGCAAAACGTTCTCCAATTAACTCTTGACTAAAAAGCTTCCAAGCTCCTCCTTTCTTCTAATAACTCAGGCCCTACAGGATTTTCAAAAGCACTGATTTTCTACATATGGAAAATACAAATTTGTCGACTCCCCCTGGAACCTTCCGCCCCCCCACTACCTTACCACCACACACGTACACGCACCCCCAGGGATGATCTACACTACCACTACCACCACCACCACCACTCCACAGATGTACAAGAGTTGAGACCAAACTACCCCCTCTCTCCCACGGCAGATCTTTGTCCCACCTGCCTAAAAGCTACTTTTCCCACCCCATCCTGGACTGCGTCTCCCCTCCTCCTCCTTTCCCTTGCCTGGGGCTCCTCGACTCATGCCCCCCCCTTCTGGGGCCCCCTACCCCAAGACAGGATCCGCCGTGGGGGGGGGCCCTTCCCCGCCCCCCCAGAGCACGCTCGGGGGGGGGGCCGGGTCAACCCCTCCTCCCCCCTCCCTCGCGCTTCTCCTGGGACTCCCCCTCCCCGCCCCCCAACCCCGCTGGGGTCTCCCGAGCCGCTCGCCCCCAACCCGCCCCGAGCGCGCACTTCCTCACTCCCCCGCCCGTGCCTCGGCCCCGGAGCTCACCTCACCTACCCTCTTTCGGGGGCCGGGCTCCTCCGTCTCTCGCTCCGCCATGTTGGGCCCCGGCGGAGGCGCCGCTCGGCGCGGCTCCGGCTCCGGCTCTGGCTCAGGGCCGCGGCGGCCCCCGGGCTGGTGGTCTGCCCCGTCCCGGGCCCGGCCCTGCCCACCCTTCCCCTCCCCGCCTGCGGCCGCCCCCCCCTCCACCCTCCCCTGCACACACACCGGCGCCTCGATGCTGCCCTCCCCGGGCCGGGCCTCACCTCGCCTCCCTCAAGTGGGGAGGGGGCGGGTCCCGCACTCTTGAGGGGAGGTGGCGGGGTGTCTGACTCCCCGGCTCGGGGAGGAGAGGCAGGACGGGGTGCAGGGAAGGGACGCAGGGAACCCGGGACTCGGGGGGTTAATGGTGTCTAATGGGCCCTGGGTGGAGGATTATTTTCTGTCGGAGAAATTCCTCCGCCTGCCCCCTTCTTAAAGCGGTCACCAAAACGAGCCTCTTGCGCGGGCCTTCAATACGCTTGCGCGAAGCGCCTGCGCACTGCCGGCCCCTCCCTCCCTTCCCATCACTCCACCCTTTCTGGGCATGCGCAGTGAGAAAGTTTGGGTAGGCCAAACCCCTGGAGCCCTCTAGCTACCAGCTGCTGCTCCCTCCACTGAGTTATGGCTGCCCCCTTAAAGGCCCCATGACCAAATTTTGACATGAGGGGTAGGGGAAGATGGGAGTGAACTCTCCTGGGAAGGGGTACAAGGCCTGTGTATGGGGTCTTGAGACCCATTTATGCCCATCTCCTTGCCCTGGTGACCACCAAGGTGACTGCACCTAGCCCAGGTCTAATGGGAAATTCAAGGAGTTAGAACTGGAAGAGGCGTTGGCGATGCTTCAGCCTAACGCCTTCACTTTGCAGAATAGGAAACTGAGACTCAGCTGAAGGGATTTGCCCAAAATACCAAAGTGAGTGAAGGGCGGAACCCAGAGCATCTTTTGCCAAATCTAAGTCTCTTTCCTAAAGGCCTAGGATAGTGTCTGGCTAGGAGCCAAGACCAGAAGGATCCAGTCAACCACCCAAAGGAAACCCCAACTTCTCTGGTGGTCTCAACAGTACAAATTTGAGGGGTCAGGTGAGGCTGGAACTGAACTTACTCAAGCCTGGAACATGAAAGAATCAAGTACCTCCCAACTCAAGGACACTTCAAATGAAGATAAGACTGGTATAAAGAGTAGACCAATTACTGGAGCTAATGGTCCCCAGCAGCCATCCAGTCCCCCAAAAGTGGGAGAAGGCGTGTTCTTCATCTTATCTGATATGCCAGTATCATCCCCAGCCCAGAATGAGGATGAGTAAAGGAGAGTCCATATCATAATAAGTCCTGTTTTGTTTTCCTGGAGCTGGTGAGATAGGAACATCTTGGCTTCTCACTCCTAATGATTGAATATGAGAACTTGCCTAAAATTGGAGAAATTGTGCTCTTTGCCATGAAAATCTGAGGTACATAAATTTGTCTTCTATAATAATTTCCTGACTATGTGGTAGAGTTGGCATGTCTGTCTTTATTTCATACTTCTATTTACTTCACTTTCCTATAGGTCAGTAGAAAATGGGTTGTTGTCATCATCAATATCAACTAAAAAGGAGAATATTAAGAAATGTAATGATTAGATACTTCTCTGTGATGTCATTGGTGTGGATGCTAGTGCAGATTCATCCTATATGATTTCCATGCATGTTTTGATGGATGAAGAACCATAATAAGAACAAATAAATGAAACCTTGAAGGCCTTTCCTTTCCAAACCCAGTATGTACATGTGAGGTAGCAATAGTATTTTGAATAATTACAATTTTTGAATATCAATCCATGTATAATCCAACTATACATGTATGTGTGTGTTAATTTAGAGATCAGAACAACTTGGTCAGAGACAAGGTCAGAAAGAAAATGCAAGATGATCTGGATCAGTTTCTGGACTATCCATTCACACTTTGCTAACCACTGATGATCATGAACATCCAAGTAGAAATATTCATTTTCTGCTGAACTCAAATCCTGAGGATCTGTGTGTCAGATTATTGGACCACAAGAAGGGTAAAAAGCAGAAATGGGCACTCAGCACACAGTAGTAAGGATATGCAGAATTTCTTTGAATACATAAGAAATGAAATGTTTCACACATCTGGGGTACATCCTTAAGATCAAGGACTATGTTTATCTATCTTTGCTTCCCCCACACTGAGCATAGGGCCTCAAACACACTAGACACTAAATAAAGGTATGTTGAATTAATGTTGAAACAATGAATAAAAAATGTACCAAAGGCAGTTTATTACTCAAGAGCTAAATCATCTAATTAACATACCAGATCTCATAGGAACACAACAAACCAATTAAGAGGCTGAGAACATAGTGGGATCAACCACTGGTCTGAGTGTTTGGACAGAAATGAAAACAGGATAATCATTTTAATATTTAGTAGACATGTGCTCTCACCAAGATGGGCTGCAACAGATCCAAATATAATTTCATATTTTTCTGTTATGTTGTTGCTAATGTGAAGTCCAGGAATGAAATTACTTAATTTGTGGCATTTCATCTTTAAACTGTCCACAAAATTTCCCAAACATAGAGTTGCTTTCTAAGGCCAGCTTATCTTTTATTTAAGCACCTGAGTGGTAGAAGGGGCAGAAGCACTTCCTGGGGGAAAAGGATGAAGAAACAGGTTTCACTTGACTGAACAGAGAGCTGCCAGAACTTTCTCCCCTGTGACAAATTGTACAAGAGCAAAAGAAATCCAAGAGTAGAGGAAAGGTGCTTTATGTAGGAAACAGAAGGGGGGTAAAAAAAAAAAGGATCTTTTGCTAGTAGGATAAAGGCCTAAGGAGGAAAGAAAGCAGAAAATAAAATTTTGCCCACCATGAGCTGGGTGTTCTACAGTTACTTTTTATAGCACCAGTCTTTTTTTTTTTTAATCATGAGACAATCCTTTTCCTTCAGAAGCTGGCAAACAGATCAATAACATAGGACATAAAGATATGAGAATTTAATCATATGATAGCTAAAAAGCATGTTGAAAAGACTATTAAAATATCACAAGGTAGTCTATGATTAATTGCCAAATGAACTTAAAATAAACTTTAAAACAATAGGTTCAGAAGAAGGAAAAGATCACTGTGATCTGGGAAATTCAGGAAGTAAGAATTGAGCTGGGCCTTAAAGGATAGATAAAATTAAGATAGAGAGCAGGGATACTAAAACCTTCAAAAAATGAGTCTTGGGCTGCGGGAACACTAGCATCCTAATACACTTTGGTGAAGCTATAAATTGGTACAACCTTTCTGGAAAATAATTTGGAAACAATGCAGGAAAATTCACTAACCTGCTTAAACCCTTTTACCCAGTGATTTGAGCAACATAATGCAGGGGAGAGAAAGACAGAAAGACTCCATAAATACTAAAATATTCATAGCAACACTTTTGGTCATAGCAAAGAACTGGAAACAAAGTTGTATAAGGTATACCATAATTTCTGCCATTGTTTTTGGGAAATGGCTTAATCCTGTGGTATATGGATGTAATGGAATGTTATTGTCTGCTCAGATGAAGACTATGAGGAATTCAGAGAACCATGGAAAGATATGTGAATTGATGAATAATGAAGCAAGCAAAACTAGAAGAAGAATATACACCATGACTACAGTAATATAAATGAAATGAATGCCAAAAATGAATGCAAAACATGTACAACCTATATTGAGTTGCTTGCCTTTTCAATGAGGGTGGGTGGGGAGGGAGGAAGAGAGAAAATTTGAAACCTAAAGTTTAAAAAACATATGTTTAAAAAAAATGTTTTCACATGCTACTGGGAAATAAGAAATACAGGAAATGGGGTACAGAAGTCTATCCTGCCCTACAGGAAAATAGAAGTGGAAGGGGATAAGAGAAGGGGGGAGAGATAGAAGACAGGACAGGCTGGGGGAAGGGATATTCAGAATGCATGTTGTCTTGGGGTGGGGGGAAGGGGGGAGATGGGGTGAAAATGTGGAACTTGAAAACTTGTGGAAGTGAATGTTGAAAGCTAAAAATAAATAAATATGGGGATGGCTTAAAAAAATTGGGGGAAAAAAAAACCCAGAGTAATTCTAATGATCAATCTTGGTTCTGGAGAACAGACTGTGAAATATACTTTCCTCCTCTCTATAGAGAGGGTAGGGGACTGTGGGTCATACAAAGTATTGCATGCAGTGGTAGACAGTCACCGTTACAACTGCTTTTGCATAATTTTTTCTTTGTTAGAAGACTGAAATCAATGCCGGGGGTGGGGTACTATATGTGAAAATGATTGTGATATAAAAAAATAAGCAGTATCAATAAAAAAATTTCTAAAATATTTTAAAGTCTAGTATTGATAAGGTAATTAAAGTTCATCTCATTAATTCATTCTTTTAGTCATGCTAGGATCTTTCCTTCATTATTCCTGACAAATGATGATTCAGAATCCATTGAGAACCTTCAGGGACCAGCAGCTCTGGGCTTCATGAGATAGTACATTGCATTGCTGGACAGCTCTAATATTAAAAAGCTCTTTATATTGTGCTAAAATCTGTTTCCTTATAACTTCCTCCCTGTAGCCCTAATCTCTTGCTCTAGAGCAATAGAGAACTTTTCTTCCCCTTCCACATAATACAACATGAAATAATCTTGGTTCCCCCAATCCCTAATGACCTTTCCCTTCCTTTGCTCCTAACATTTTGCTTTCCTAGCACTCTCTGATGTACTTTGCATGGATTATTTTGTGGATTATAACAAACTTTTGTGTATATGCCTTATCCCTCTACAAGACTAAACTCAATGGGCCCAAGAACCATTTCTTATTAAAATTTGATATTTCCCCTAATGATAGCACAGTGCTCTACATGGAGTAGGTATTGAATTATGTTGAATAACACTTGATGATAGTTACTATGTCTCTTACTACCCAAATCTTCTCCAGGTTCAATATCAATAGTCCCTGAATCATCATTCCCATGATGTTTACCCAGACAGCTCACTATCCTGATCATCCTCACCCAGATAGTCTCTAGATTTATGATGTCCTTAAACTTTGGCACACACAAATTTGTCAGATATTTATTAAGCACCCATTATGTAACTGTGGTAGGAGTCAGATTA